GAAAGAGAAATAAAAAAGTTGAAAGAAAAATAGAAGAATTGAGAAATATAAAAGAAAGAAGAAGAAATAAAGAAGAGAAAGAAGAAGTAAAGAAGAAAGACAGTGAAATAGAAAGAATGAAGAGTAAATACTAGATAGAATTCTATCATAAAGAAGAAGAAATATGAACATTGAAAAGGAATTTAGAGAAACAAAAGAAAGAAGAAACTAATAGATTAAAGAAAGAGAAAGAAATAAGAGAAATAAACAAGAAGAAGAAAACAATAAAACAAAAGATAAAATCAAACAACAAGAAGAAGAAATAACAAAGATAAAAGAACAAAAACACAAAGCAATTAAAAACAAATAAATAGAAATAGAAAGAAGAAAAAACAAGGAATTAGAAGATAAATTAAGAAACAGAAAGAAGAAAATGATAAAATTGAAATAATAAAAGAAAATTCAATTATCAAACCATTAGAAGAAAGAAAACAACCCCAATAAAGAAAATATCAAAGATATAATTTTAACAAAATGAAGAAGAAAACAATATCACTGACAAAAACAGAAACACTAAAGAATTGGATCGAGTTGAATAATTATAGAAGAGAAGAAATGGATTCTATCAAAGAAGAAAGCAGGAAGAAACTAAAACAAATACAAGAATGAGTAATTCAAAACATAAGAGAAGAATTACTAAGAATGATATTAAAAGAACTAGAGAAGACAATTGGAGAGAAAATCAATATAGAATAAATAATGAAAAACAAATGAACTATCAGAAATAGAAGAAAAGAAGATAAAAAGTTAATAATGTTATTGATTAAATATAATAAATATTAAAATATAAATAAGAAATTAAAGAAATTAAAGAGATAATAAAAGAAAGAAGAATAAAGATAAATAAAGAAGAAGAATAGATAGAAATAAATAAAAGAAAAAGAGGAATAGATGAAAGAAACAATAAAAAGATAATATAAATAACAATAAATATAATGAATAATTATATATCAAATTAATTCAATAAAATAAGAGAAATAATGATAAATTACATGAAAGTTGAAATGAATAATAATAAAAAAGAAAATAATACAATAAAATAAATAAATAAATAAAATAACATATATTAATTATTATTTGAATAAAAATATATGTAATGAAATAATTAAATATATGAATGAAGAATGGAAATGTGAAAGTGAATAGAAGATATCAAAAAAGAAATATATAAAATAACATATTGTATTTCTAAATATCAATAAAATAATTTTATAAAATATTGAAATAATGAAATTAATAATCTAAGAAGAAGAAACAATAAATTACAATAATTAATAATTAACAATAAATACAATAGAATTAAAATAATAAAGAGAAATAAATAATACAATAATGAATATATTAATAATAAAACAAGAAATTAAACAAATAAAATAATTAATTAATAAGAATAAGAATAGAATAGAAATTAATAAAGAAGATAGAAGAATAATAAGTAAAAATAAAATAATAATAATAAGAAATGAGAAGAAAAATAAAGAAAAAAGAAATGAAAATATAGAATATCCAAGTGATGATAATACAATTAAATTGTTGAAAGTGATATATGAAAGAGAGAAATAAATAAATAATAATATTAATAATAATATAATAGAAGAATCATAGAAGAATGAAGAAAGAAGAGTAACAACAAGAGAATTAAAATCAATGGATGAAATAAAAATAAATATAAAAATAATAATGATTATTTAAAATATCAATAAAATTGAATTTAATAAATAATAATAATAATAAACATAAAATAAATGAATAAAATAACAAATCAATATAAATAATTAATCAAATAATAGAATAATAAAAATAAGATAATATAAAGAAGAATATAATAATAAAATAAAATATAATCATTCTTATTCTTATTATTTATTATATTTCTTTTTATTTTTTTCTTCTTTATTATTATATTAAATATTATTTTATATTTATTTATCTTATTTGTTTTATATTTTATTATTATTATTTTATTGTTTATTATCTTCTATCATTTATTTATTATATGTTGTATTAATATTTATCAATATTAATATGAAATGAATAATAATGAATAAATATAAAAGAAGAATAAGAAATAAGAATAAAAAAATATAAAATAATAATTTATTCTGTTTTATTTTATTTATATTATTCTTATTTATTCTTATTTTTGTTATTTAATGTGTTCATTCATTTATATTCATAATATAATTAAATCAATAAATTGATAAATAAAAATAAATATTTTATTCATTTTATTATATATTTATTTATCTTTTATTCTTATTTCTTTTTATTATTTATTAAATTAACATAATAAATATGAATATTTTCAAATAAAATAAAACAAGAATGAAATATGATGATTTTTATATTCATCAATTATTTTATTGATAAATAAAATGTTGATATTCATTTATTGATTTTATTTTATATTCTTTTTTATATATTTCAAATAAAACATAATGAATAAATTCATTTCATTTCAATTACAATGATTCGTTTTGGTATGAATTGATTTGGAAGTTGTTTTCCACAAAGTACATTTTCAATTCCGTTATATTCAAAAGAATGTTGTTTACAAAATGATATTGTTTTATTATTTTCTTTATAAACACAAATATCATTATATCCAAAATCAAATAAAACATTATGTGATTTATTATATAAATAAAATGCATGTTGTTGTTCATTAATATTAAATTTATTCATTCCTTCTATTCTTCCTTTTGATTCCAATGAAAATAAAAATGACTTTGGATCATTTATATCATCACCAACTTTATCAATTTTCACATTAATATATCCTCCAAATTTATTTCCTTCTTCATCTTTAATAATAATTATTATATGTTCTTTATTTACTATTCTTTGATTAAATACTGATGTATTAACATTCCAATTATCATTATCTGAATCAAATAATATATTGTATACTTTTCTTGATGTCCATTCTTCTATTTGTTCAATTTGATATTTTGGTATTGATATTCTTCTCATTCTTTCTATTCTCATTTCTTCTTCTTGTTTCTTTTTTTCTTTTCTTTTTTTCATCTCTAAATAATCACTATAATGTGTAAACCATTCTTCTTTCTTTTTATTAAATGATTCTGTGATTTTATCTTTTTCTTCTGGTGTTCTGAATAGTTTATCTTTCATGTTCATTTCTTCAATTGAAATAATTTTATTGATTATTTCATTCCTTGTCTTACCTAGTATTTCTTCATCTGAATTACATTCTTCTATTATTTTCTTCATTTGATTCTTTATTATTTCAACTAATTTATTTGTTTCTTGACTTTTTCTATTATTAGTTTTCTTCTTCTTTCTGTTTCATCAATCCTATCAATATTC